AGGGTGTCTCATAAGTTTTGGCAAATCAGTTTTGTGTAGACAGAGCAGACTAAATTGAGTCGAAAAGTTTTACTATTTTCGCAACAGTTAACAAGATATTAATTTCTAAAAATTGTCAAATATTGATCTTGAATAATTTTTTCCTCTAATACTATCAATTACTCTAATACTATCAATTTACAGAAAAATTACAAAAAGCAAAAATCATTTATTTTCTTCTTGTAAAGTTCTGAGAATTTTTTTTAGAATTTTTTAATATCGCATTTTCTCATGTTGATAAAAATAAAAAAAATGTAGTACTAAAAAAGTTGATAAAAATTCTGAAAAAATTCACACAGTTCTATGAGAAGAAAATAAATGATTTTTGTCTCTTGCAGTTCTTCTGTAAAGTTTTTTCTGTAAAGTTGATAATATTGATAATATTTGATAGTAAAAAATTATTCAAGATCAATATTTGGCAATTTTTAGTATTATTATCAAAGTAATTATAATAATATCTTGTTAATTATTGCGAAAATTGCAAAATGGTAAAACTTTTCGAACTCAGTTTAGTCCGCTCTGTCTATGCAAAAGCGATTATATAATATATATATACATAGTATATATAACAATCATTTCTTGAATTAAATATTTCTGAAACATCTTAATTTCGAATTGAGTCGCTTGTAAAATAAATTTAAAGTTAAAAAATAATCCAATACCTTTTTGCACACATAAAGCTACAAAACATTAAACAACTTAGCTACTTTGACGACTTTGATATTATATTGTTTCTTCAAGTTCTTTTCTTCAATTAATTACTCTCAAGATATTCTACTCTAGAATTTATTATTTAATGCTTCACTTAAAATACATAAAGGCAAGTAAATAATGGATCATAAATAGAATATAAAGATATAAAGAGACTGTCGACACTTACTAATTACTAAAAATTCCAGCTTTTCTAAATTTTTGTAGCGTAATTAGCAGATACCGTAATTAACAAAATTGAAATATTACATTCTTTTCAAAAATAAATCAAATAAATAGCGATAAAAACAAATTCTATTAAATTTTTCTTTTTTACAAAGTGTGCTGCGTTTATATCAATTTAATATCATGATATTATAAAACAATAGTATATTTCTATATACTTTTCAAGATATTTAATAATACTGATATATATCATATATCGATAGATAGAATATATATCATAAGTTATAATTTAAAAGTTATAATTTATAATATAGTAATTATGTTTTTAATTGTTAAGATAAATCTGCATGTAAACACAAATTTTAAAAACAATATAAAACTTCAAAATCCTAAACATTTTATGCTTTTGAATATTCAAAAATTTTAATTTTGCTTTTATAAAAAATCTAAAAATATTAAATTTTTATTATGTAGAATTCTAAACGTTCAATAAATTCTTGACATGTTTTATGAAATAATTAAGTTGCATTCACGTTATTCTTCCTAAAAGCTCCGTTGACAAAATATTTGGTAATATAACATGTAAATAGGCTTTTAACAGTGCGAATAAAAAAATGTAAAAAAACGTTACGCAGGGAGCAGTAGGCGGCACGGCGCCATTTTAACAAAATTGATCCACACAAAGTATTAAAATGCGGAAACAGACTCGCTCGGTCGTTTTAGTCGATATACATACGAGCTGCACGAACGAATGCGACCAACTGTGTGAACCATGCGTGTGGAAAGAGCGCGATGGAAAGAGCATAAAGAGAAAAAGAGAGTAGGATAGAAGGTTTGGAAAACTTCGATTCCATGTCGAGTAATCGGAAAATGCATTACGTGCATTATATCGTGGAAATAAACAACAATGCAAAAATGAAGAACAAAAATGTGAGTCTTTCAGTTGCTCCAATTATTCGAAATATAAAGTAGAAGTCGTTCAAAATTATATTAAAAAAGAATTTCATTATTTGTTTGTTTTTTTTTTTAATTCTTGTTTGCATAGAAAGTATCATTTTTAATATTAAGTAACAATTTAATTCAATTAGTATTTAGTAGAGCTTTAAAAATTTGTTAACTTTTATATTGCGAATTAACTTATTCGTAATCTTAATATTATACTAATTTTAATTTATACTAATCCTCCAGAGAATAAATAAAATTCATTAAATTCATTAATTTTTAAAATATTTGTATTGCCAAATTGTACTACTAAAAATAATTCTACATTATGTATCATTTCAAAAAAACAGTGACGTCGCTAGTTTAATATTTAAGCTGGCAAGATCACAAAAAAACAACACAAGGGCAAAAATTAACATCACTGAATTTGTACTAATTTGTACCATTGAAATTAATATTTTACATGTATTCTCCTTAAAATGACTTTATTAGTATTATTAATACTTACAATCTATGAGGCATTCCACATCAAACCTTTGAAACATTTTGTTTTTTTTTTAATTTGTTAACAAATTCTACAGATGAAAATATGGGACTCATGTTTCATGAAAAAATGTGAGATTTTTTATGAAGTTATTGGTGCTTGTAAGTTATAGAAATTCAAAAAAAACATCGCTCATATGCAAATATTCAAATTATTATATCGTTG